TATTTGTTAAAATATAACTCTAAAACCAATAACTTTTAGAGTTACATTTTATGACAAACTCTTATTAATGTTGTCCACACACATGCAGAAGTGTTTTTTATTGTTATTGCGGAAACCTACACATTGCAGAGATAGCCATAGATCTAAAAGCTGTGAGATCAAATAACAGGCTGGCCCATATACAGAGATGTGTATAAAATGTTCATCCTTAAGGACATTTTAACTGTGAATTTAAAAGTGTAAATGCTGCTCTTGTGTCACAGACATTTCTAAATCATACAGGAGAGATAAAAGGCCCAAACGGCAGCAGTCTGCATTTTTCTTATTTTAAAGACAGTTAGAAGTATTGGAATAGTTGGAACATGAGCCATTATTGGCTGAGACCACCTGTTATAATTATTTACATAGTAAATCATAGCAGTTTTCAAACCAACACATGCAGCAGCTGTGTCTAACCAAACCAGCGCTTAGAGGACTGTTTTTAGAAATATTGTGTACACCTGCGCCTGCTCAAGAGCACACAGACACACACACATTAGTGTGATTATCTCTGTTGACTTCACCTGGACCCACAACACCAACACCCTGGAGAAGGACCAGCAGTGGCTGTACTTCCCCCGTGTGCTGAGGAAGAATAACCTGGACCGGAAGCTGCTGCTGGCCTTCTTCCCCTCCTCAGTGGAGAGCGTGCTCTCCTGCTGCCTGGGTGTTTGGTACGCAGGGGCCACAACTGAGAACAGGAAGGCTACGCAGAGGGTAACTAACACCACCCAAAAAAAATAATTGGCTGCCCTCTGCCACCTCATGAGGCCATAGCCAAATCCCCGTGTGTCAGGAAAACCAGTGCCAAAATCACAGGTGAACCCTTACACCCCGCCCACCACCCGTTTGACCAGCTGCCCTCTGGTCAATCAGGTCCCACACCTCCAGGATCACAAACAGGTTCTTCCCCTGGGGCATTCAGACTGTTAACAAACACTATCCCCCCACATCCCACCCACCTCACCAATCTGAGCCATGGTATGAGTAACCCCATGACTCAGGCCTCTGACATAGGGACTCTATTCAGACTTTTCTTTGCACTACTTTTAAGAACTTTGCAACTATTTTTTGTTCTCTAATGTCTGTCTTTCTCCTATTTTTTTGTATATATTCCTCTTGATTGTTTATCTTTCTCCTGTTTGTTATTTATTCCTGCTGTCTACTTTTTATATTTTATTCAGGCACAGTTGGTGTGGAGCACCCACAATCTCATTGTACATGTAGAATGGTATTCACGATGAATCAAAACTAATACTCAAGCAGTCATTTCATGGTGTAAGCACTGCACGGGAAAGCTCAGTCTCTTACCAGCACAAGCACGCTCTTCTATGAGCACTCATGCATTGACAAATAGACGTATTCCCATGTCTAGACAAACAAATTTATATGTACAGGCATTTGTGATCGTAGGTATGCTGTATGAGCAAATACGCAGGTAAGCCTCAAGACACAAGCGCGCACACACAGGAACATGAAAGCAGTGTGTGAGGTAATCAGAGCGAAGCGACAGGCCGTGGTTTGTGGCTCTCCATCTAATTAAATGCTAATATGGCTGCTGATTGTGGCTGACTGCAGCTAAATAGAGGCCTGATTGCAGGTTAATTCTCTCTCTCCCGTTTTCTGTCTCATTGTCTCTCTCACATGCTCTCTCAAGCCTTCACTCCCTCCCTGAGCCATTTTCACTCTGCAGTTTTGAAATCCTGTTTGCAGGTTAGCTCTGTCTTTCCACCTTAAATTGCCTTTTAATCGCTTGACTTCTTGTTTCCCTTCCCCTTCCTTTTTCCCCTTCCCTTGCTCTCTTTGTTTCATTTGTCCTCTCTCTCGCTTCATTTCAGCTCAATTCAAATATGCTTCTCTGACAGCACAGGAAGGAGGGTACTGTTCTAACAACAATAAGAAAGAACAGGTGAAAAAGTAGAAGCAAGGCAAGACAGTAGCCCTATCTGCAAGGGTACATCTCACTGCTGTGCTGGATTTAAATTTACTTTAAAAGAACTGCTAAAAGCAATTGTAGGATTTTAGAAGCCATCACAACTACTTGTTTTGACGGTCAGATGAGGAGAAGAAATTGCTTGGCTTGAGTGTGTTTTATAGCTAAAACACATCCATTTTATTCATGGAAGTATTTCTTAACACTTCTGCAAATTGACCTGTGTCCTGCTTGTTTGTTTGCTTAGCTTGGTCACTAACAGCATGCCGCTGCCTTGTTTTGGAACAGTTTGCACTTTAACAGAGGACTAAAGCTGAACAGAAGTGAAACACAACATAAAAAAGCAAAAGCAGTATATTTGCACTCTGTATTTGGTCAGTAATGTTTATCCTGTGTGTAATATTAAAAATGTAATTTATTATATTGGGATTAGATTGAGCTCTGAATAAGTATTACATATGACAGATATAATATTTACCTTTTACTGTCAAATAGAGGTGACACAATATGGAAACCTCAAAATTACATCACATGATTAAGGTGACAATCAGTGGGCAGCAGCATGGCTTCATGTCAGGAAGGAGCAGCGATGATGATGTTTGCTTTGAGAATGCTGATAGGGAAATATGCAGAAGGTCAGATGGAGCTACACTGTGTCTTTGTGGATCTACAAAAAGCATAAGAGAGAGGAAGAGTGGCATTTTATGAGGAAGTCAGGAATTACAGATAAGTATGTGAGGCTGTAGCAGGTCATGAGGACAGTGCGACAGTGGTGAGGTGTGTGTAGTAGGAGTGACAGATGGGTCAGAGGAGGGAGGGGTGGGATTACATTTGGGACTGGCTCTGAGCATCTTCGTGTTTGCAGTGTTGATGGACAGGTTGATAAATGAGGTCAAGCAGGAGTTTCTGTGGACTAGGATCACAGTGTGATCTGCAGTGAGAGTAGGGAGAAGGTGAAAGAGAGCCTGGAAAAGTGGAGGTATGCACTCAAGAGAAGAGGAGTAAAGGTGAATAAGGCAAGACAGAATATGTGTATGAGTGAGAGGGAGACAGATGTAGCAGTGAAACTGAAAGGAAAACAGGTAGTAAGGGTGACTGTGTTTAAATACCTGGAGTTCACCACCTAAAGCAGTAGACAGTGCACAAGAGAGGTGAAAAAGAGAGTGTAGACAGGGTGACGAGAGTAGAGATGAGTATCAGGAGTGATTTGTTCCAGAAGGATTGCAGCAGGAATAACCGGGAAATTTACAAGATGGTAGTGAGCAGTGTTGGGACTAACGCGTTATTAAGTAAGGCGTTACAGTAACTACGTTATTATTGTGGTAACGAGCACGGTAACTAGTTATTATGCCAAAACCAGGAACGCGTTACTCGTTACTGGGATTTAAATAGGCTCGTTATTCGTTACTTCGTGTGGTGGCTATGAGCTTCCACAGATTCAATAACATTAGCAAGTGGTGGAAGCCAGCAGGTGGATGAAGGAAAAGGGAGGCAGGAGGAGAGACGCGGCCGCCGGTCCGAGAGTGTCAGGTGAACTGAACTTCAGGTAAGAAGTTATGACCTGCAGTCTCTCTGGGTCAGATATGAACCAAGTTTAGGTGGAGTTTATTTTCGTTATGCTGACTTTTTCCGTACTGCGTGCTAGCTAGCATGACGGAGTTTCTATACAGCTGGGTGGTGCTATGTTACTGATGTTGAACTTTATTTTGTTCATAAGGTTAATTATTAGAGTTGCCAACCGTCCCGTAAAAAACGGAATCGTCTCGTATTCAGAGAAAATATTACGCGTTTCGTATTGAGGTGAAAAGGAACAGTTTGTCCCGGACTTCAGCTACAATGAAAAAGACACAAAGCTGGAGTTATTCTGTGTCTTTGCTGCACAGCTGCCTCTTCTTCTCATTCTCTCCCCTCCCTCTCCTGTTTCTACTTCAATCATGAAACTGATCAATGATCAGCTGATCGGCTTTTCTCTCTTGTTTATTTATCGCCCACTTTGCGCCAGAAAGAGGAAACCAGCGGATGTCGCGCTAAACAACAGCAGCACGTTTGATCAGCTGTTGTTAGAATTTATTTAATATTAATTTCTAGTATCAGCTGATGTTTGCTGGAGCCACAGCTGTAAAGCTGCTGGTCATGATATGGTTTGGTTATCTGGTGAGAGGGAAACATGAAGATGAAACCAGGAGATGTCCTTACTGAATCATCAGAGCTGAACAGGTGATGGAGAAACAGGTTTACCTTTTAGGTGACATGAATGAGTTGAAGGGAAGTTATGAACTGTTTCTGAGAGACAAATAACACCAGGATCCTTTTTTAGGTAGCTGACAGCTGGTAACTGTGCAGGGGCGGATCTAGCAAAGTGTTGCCAGGGGCCATGTAGGGCATTAACAGGGAAAGGGGGGCACAAAGAAATACTTTTCTTTCTTATTCTCATTTAAAATGTCTAGCTTTTAAAAAATAATTATCTGAATCTTACAACAAACGATTGATAGATTGATGCATATATACCATCAGAACAGTGAACATCACTGTCACAACAGCGTTTGTTTTCATTCAAAGGCTTTATGATTTTTCCTATAATGGTGGGCCGGTCTCTAGTCAAAATGCCCGGGACGATTTTTTTGTCCCAGTCCAGCCCTGTATGCAGCTCATCTGCAGTCTGGTGTTACCTACATCTTCCTATTCAGAAGGCAGAATTTCCGAGTTCTGAGTACAATCGAAAGCACCACGACTGCAGTTTTTGTGTTGGATGTAAAAAGCAGGCTAGAATCATGCGGCGGTCAACGACGGTCCAGGCGTGGGATTTCTCTCATGGAAGTGTGCACATTATTTTTTCCTTTCTATTGGTAGGTGGCACAGTGCACTTGTGGCAAGTAAGCAAGCTAGAAGGCTGGTAGTCTGGCTTGGTATCCAGTTACGGAAGCAACACATTAACAAGAGAATTCTGAGTAAAACCAAAGTTACTTTCCCTAGTAACTAGTTACTCTGAAAGTAACGAGTAACTTGAAGTAACTGAGTTACTTTTGATAAAACTAACTAGTAATGTAACTAAGTTACTAATTTAAAGTAACTTACCCAACACTGGTAGTGAGACCTGCTATGACTTACAGTTTGGAGACGGTGGCACTAACAGGAAGACAGGAGGCACAGCTGGAGATTTTTCTTGTGACTGATAAGAATGGACAGGATTAGAAATGAGCATATTTTAGAGGGGCAAGTCTAGGGCACGTTGACTTGGACCTGTGCAGAGGAGGAATAGTGGATATGTTGCACAAAGGATGTTGAATATGGAGCTGCCAGGCAGGAGAATCGGACAACCACTGAGAAGGACATTTGGAGGGTTGGTGTGACAGAGGAGGATTCTGAGAGAAATGGAAGGTGTGAAGAGGTGAGATGAAGACACGCTGTGCAAACCCCTAAAAGGAGTAGCTGAACAAATAGAAGACGGACATATACAATATACTGATAAAATGGTGGTGTAAACATGGGGAAGGTTTAAGTACTGAGCTCAGGGTATGTACAAGTAATCCCTGGATTCACACTTTTCAAAATGTTCTGTTTGAGACAGTTTTTTCTGCTCACTCAGGAGAAAAAACAGCTTTAAAAGAAAGTGGTCTTAACAGGAAATGAGCTAAAGCACCTCCAGACTGGCAAACCAACTCAGGGGCCACACTACAACCCAGTATAAGATAAGTAAGGATTATCTTCAACTCCATAATAATAGGTCCCCGTTAAAATGAAACAGCCACCACATAATTGGGAAAAGCAGAACAGTTGTAGGTTGGTAAAAAAAAAGGACGACTGATCCTTAATTGTAAGCCTTTTAATTGACCAAATAAGTGGGAAATGAGCTTTGATTCATGTAAATAGAGTTTATGTACTCCCTGATAGTTAAAAAATAAACAACAATAAATGAACTCATGCTTACAGTACATGCCCCAGCTGATGACACACAGCCTTATGTAGGCCATGCATGTGTTATTAGCAATTCAGGTGTCAGGTTTCACCATTTAAGTGACAGACTGACAGCTGAGTTGATTCTCCAGGATTACGTTAATGTAAAATATGAAAGCCAGTCATCAGTGCATGCATTTTTTCCCCTATCATCTGTTTGAACCAACGTCCCAGGGAACAGTAAATCTCACAGTAATGGAGTTTATTCCAGAAGTAACTTTATGCCGTAAAGCGCAAATGCCACTTTCTTATTTTCTCCTTCTGGTTCTGACTTTACACACTTTGCTGCCGAATGTCCTCTTGTTGCACTCAGCTGTGCTTTTTAAAGGAAAGTGACGAGAGTGATAACATAGTGAGAAATGCTCCAATTCAGCGATGTAATTAATGAAAGCTTCTCAGTATGCGTTGCTGCATTTTATTCTGAGCTGATTCCCCCTTCAGTGGATGCAGAAACTAATTGTTGTGCCTCTTCTATGATATGTTTTTGTCAAATCTTCCTACAAAACTGCACCTGAGTGTCTACCATAAGTGGGATAAGTATCATCACTGGAAAGTAAAAGTAAAGGCATTCATAGCAGCACTCGATATTATTCCATGAAAAATGCTTCATGCAAAAAGCTGAACAATTAAGCCTAAAGAACTTGTGAGATGGTTGAATTGAAATGGAAAGCCTCATATCTTTACTTTATTGGATGAGTGATGTGTCTGAGCTTATTTATTTATTTATTTTCCAACAAGCTTTAATTTGTGTCAGTTGCAAATATGATCTCATATAACACAACATCCCATCCATCAGCACGGGACAGGGTCCAAAACCCAGAGACGCACACTGGTAATGTGTGAAAGATACAGAGAAACACAATCAGTAAAAAAATCAATATAAGGTCCTTAAATTGTAAGTAAAAAATATTAGTCTTATTGTCAGTAAATTATTTAAATTACATTTGTGGATTTTTAGAAATCATCTGTATAAAGTAAACATCATCTAAATATCCATAGCTGTGGCTGGCGTTTCTGAGTGATCTACTTTATATATTTGCTTTCTGTTGGCTTTTCAGAGTTAGCCTCCATGTAAAGTGAGTCTAAAATTCAAAATGCTTTTTTAAAAAAAAAAAAAAAAAAGTTGCCTCTTTTGAGAGCCAGCCGATATCAGAGGACAAGACCTTTTATTCCTCCGCCAGTCCGAGTTTATGAAGATAAACATAAAATTAGACACACAGACAATAGTCAGTAGTTTTAAGATCCTGGCATATGCAATCCATCTTTTGTTGTCCATGTGGACTGTCTATCTGTAGGCCACCAAAGTTTGCTCAGACTAAAAAAGGAAACCAGCTATTTTCTGGTAACAAAAGACTTGTCCCTTGCATATTCATCTACCTAAAACGCTGCATTTAGCTTTTGCAAACCAAAAATGTGTTAAACTGTGAAGTCCTGCTGGCGATACGCTAAACACTTTATTGAACACACACACTGTCATATAATGTATCACTGAATCAGAAATTGGCACTGTATCACTTAATCAGCAATAAGAGACGACCTATGAGTTACTATAGGTCACTAGTCTGGTGCTATTGCATGTTTTTCTTATTCTATAATACATTGTGTGATACTGTATTGTATTTTGCCATTCCCCAAGTTGAGCCATTTTATCTTATTTGAAATTGCATGTTATTGTGTTCTCTACACTGTTGTGTTGTTCAGCCCCTGATTGATCCTGCAAATTTCATTGTACTAGCCCTGCTTGTCCAATTAACAGCTGCAAGTACTTTAAGTAGTAAATAAGGCTAGGACAATACTATATGAATGCGGTCCAGTTTTATTTTCCAGAGTCCAAAACTAGATTTTTTTTGTCTATCTGATTTAAAAAAAATGCTGTGTACAAAAAATACAACCAGCAGAGACAAGTTCTCTTTTTCTTTGAATGTAAAATGAAAATGAAAACAATAATGTTTAAGTGTTTTAGGGAGAACACTAACTTTTCCTCTCAGACTTGTTCTTGTTCACTCTAATCCTGCCATTAATCAGATAGAGAAAAAAAAACTCTAATAGAAACAGAACAGGCGCTCCTGGTGCTGCTGTACTGGGAGATTAATTGACTTTATATTTCATTGTGTGAGTGTGTGTGCTGCAGTAATTCTTTGCTTGTGGGAACAAAATGTTCTCATAAGGAGAAGGAAATTAGGAAAATCTTCCAAAGTGGTGATTTTATCCCTTACTTAGCTAATTTAGGATGAAATCTGAAGATTAACAGCAGGATTATGTACAGGTTTACACTTGGACTGCTCCTCTGCGAGGACACGTGTTAGTGTCTATTTATTTAAACTGCAGAATCCAGATTTCCTATAGAAACATTAAAAGAACTAACTTTTAGTTAGAAATGAAAGTGTTAAATGTGTGTGTGTGTGAAGTACGAATGTGCATCAGGTATTATGGCTTCATAAAGCAGCTAGATGAGATGTCACTTCTAAAAGGAGGATCTGGGACATTAGCCTTCTGCAAATCAGGAGAGAGAGAGTGAGCAGAATGACATGAAGGGAAATTGAGAGGAAGGGAGTTGGGACTTATGTATGATGAGCATAAGTGGAGCGAGTAAAGAAAAGAAGCAGGATGGAAAAATGACATGAAGAAAGAGGATATCAGTCAAACATCAGCTGGCGATAGATACGGAGGAATAGGACAAAAGTGGTAAAGGTGAAAAGAAGAGCATGAGGAGGGACGAAGAAGGTAAGACTGAAAAAAAGTACAATAGCACAATAGGTCTCCTTTTCCCTTCTTGCTTTAAAAAGAAGTTAAATCTTTCATGCTCTCTTCCTTCTTGCATCTCTTGTTTTTTTCTTTTCCTCCTTCCCCTGCTCCCCTTCATTGAATAACAACTCGTTTTCTTCTTCTATTCTGCTGTGAAGTCACACAGAGGCCAAGTGTATGAAGAGAAGGCAGTGGAGAGATTAAGGAAAAGAGCAAAATATTTCCAAGTCAAAATAAGGCAAAGTCTGTGCAGTAGTGTTCTTTATGAAAATAACTGAAAGAAAGATGCCAAAGATATGAATTAGTAGCGGAAGAACTGAGGAGAAGGACAGAAAAAGCAGAGAGGTCTCTGGTGTGCTTCTAAGCTAGAGAGACGACCCAGAAAAGTCAAGAGTAAAAAAAATGGACTGCCAGGAAAGGAGGTCTATTCTATAGGGAGGGCGAGGAGGAGGGGCTGGAGGGAGGGAGGTAAAGGCTGCAGGTGTTCATTTGTTATACTGAGCAATATGGCAGCAGGGAGTGTGTTTTTAGTTGTGTTTTAGTCTGATGCGGGAACAGAGATCGAGTTGTTGCTTTAACACAGTGTTTCTCTCCATGGGGTACAAAAGCACGTCAGCAGCACCACATGGCAGGGGAAGGTTTGATGCATTTCTTACCCGGAGATTATAATGCAATATGACATCCTCTTTAACAAACCAGCAGCTCGTCTCTTTTCACACCAATGGGAATGAAAGAGCTGCGAGGAGACGAAGATCTAATGTTGGCAAATTCTCTGTGCCGAATGTCGCTCACTGCTTTGTAGAAGACAGTTTGAATTTCTTTGAAGCCTTATTCAGATTGAACACAAAGCAAAATGGAAATCAAGGAAATGGCAAGGTCCTTTTAGAGACGATTGTTACTGCTTGAAAGACATTAATGAAATGCCTAAGAGTAATTATTTGGGCAGTAAAGGGGACCTCGGATCACCAGTTCAGTCTGAGTGAAATTTATTTTAAAAATATTAAATAAAAAAGGGGGAAAAAAGCTTAAAAAGGATGGTAAGTTTTTTCCTACAGCTCACGCTAGTACTACTCAGCTGCACAGCATTATGGTTTCTTTATTTTCACATCACGATCAGCATCCAAAGCACAAAACAAATGCAATTCTAATTGAAAATAAAAGAAAAAGCACACACCACCATCTTTACTATAATAACGAATAGCTACGCCACCCACCACAGAACAGAGCCCCCTACTGTGCGCATGTGTTGCATTATTGGCTAAGGTTTCCCGTTTCAGCCATTTACCAGCTCTTACTCCGCATCCTTTGTGTGTCCTTCTTGCTTCCTTATGTTGTGTTACTGGCAGTATTGTCTGGTTGTGTAGATCCAAACAGAAACCAACATCCATTCAAAAACAAAAACATTTTTTGTTTGTTATTTTGTGTTTTAATGGACTCCAAAAGACCTAACAGCACTCATATTCAATCTGTGTGACATAAGCACAAGCTCAGATCAAGTCAAGCATTTGTTACGTGTGCAGATGCATAGTGTTGATACTGAATTTGCTAGCAATGGGTTCACTGAAAATGTGTCCTGCTACTACTAAGTTATCCACCTGCACAGTTCAACCTTTGTGAAAAATCACACCCAAAATAAAAAATCTTTTAATTTAATTCACCCAGTGATTAAATTGATCCCAAGTGTAAATGGAAACTTAGTTGTGTAGAAATGTAAAAGATTTTGTCATATCAGTGCATCTGGCCAAGAGCAGCTCTGTATTTGCATGCATTCTGCGAATTGTAGCATAAAATGTAGTTTAAACAGCTAGCCGATTCCTCATTCAGCAGTATGTTAGGCAAATGTGATGTGAATGCAGCTGACCTTTAAAGCAGGCAGCAACTCATGAGGTTCTAATAAAACATGAGCGACTAGCTATCAGATATTGCGGCTTATATTTATTGCAAAAAGCATTCTCTTGGTGTAGCAGGCCTGCAAATGAATCGATTACTTGCTGACAGCGAGCTAGAACCATCTGGCACTCTGAAGCGTTCTTGTTTTCAGTGATACTAGATAATTGATGAAATAAATCGATTTCTATGCTGGACCCTATTGTAGAATTTGTGCTTTCCAGACACCATTTACACTGGCAACTAACTCACTGGGGGTGCTTAAAATAACTGATCTCCTTTTAAATACCCCTTCAGATTTCAGATTGACATAGTTCCAAATAGGGGCAGGACTCAGACACTAGGACGAGATGCAGGGATCCAAGCAAGGAGTAAAAATAACAAGAAAGCCAAAGAATTAGGGAAAGGTAGAAAAAAAAGTACGTAAGACGAGTACAGAAATGAAATGAAGGTCTGAATGATGCCTGACTGGCTTGACAGGCTGCATTGTGACAGCCTGAGAGCAGGAAGTCAACTTGACGTGGGTTTCAAGTGGAGACAAAGCCAGACGAGACAGCCTCTGCGATTCCTCTCCAAACATACCGTTACATAATGAATGAGAGTGAGATTTCATTCTTAATGCCACAGCCTGTTAACAGCCGTGCTTTGTGTGGTAATGACAGGATGCCACCAAGAGGCAATTTGAATGTGTTGATCCGACGAGCTTTGACAGCCACCTCCCATTCTCTCTCATGACAGGTTAAAATCACCACTTCCTGCTCAGGCTCCTGGTAAACTGCTGTGATTACTAGAACCTTTAATGAGTTAAATAGAAATATTAAGTAAAAAAAATACTTTTCCTACTTCATAGTTTCCCCCTTTGTCCAATTTGTTTTTGGACTCTTCTTCCTTTCGTTCTTCTCTTTTATCATCATGTTTCATTGTCTTCCCTCACCTCTTTTCAGCCATCATTGCCTCTAATTTTCTGCTGTCTCCTTCACCTCCTGCTCTCACCTGTCATAATTTTTTCCCGCTCCTTTTCCTCTTTTGTCAGCCCTTTCTTCCTGTGCAGTGACCTGACTCTTCACCTCTCTGTTCATCTTCCGTGCTGTCAAAAACTAGCTATGAGTTATAGCAACTTGGATTTTATTTTTGTTGCTTGAACATAATTTTTGCGAGATGTTGCAGACACCACAGTCAGTGCTTAGACCCATTCTGGGTCTAAATAAAACCTCTCACTCAAACAATTCAATATATTGTAGAAAAAGAAAAGGAATTAATGACAGATTTATTATTTTAAAGCATCTTAGTGAGTGGAAATCTTGATTTCCCATACCCTTGTTTCCCTCCCTTACCCCTAACTGGTTACAGCAAATGAGCCGGGTTTGTCAGAGGTTTCTTCCTGTTAAAAAGGGGTTTTTCCTTTCCACCTTTGCCAAGTGCTTGCTTACTGATGCTTGGTGTTTTCTCTTTATTATTGTAGGGTGTCTACCTCACAACAAAGCACAATGACATGACTGTTGTTATAATTTGGCGATATATATATATATATAAATAAAACTGAATTTGAATTAGAAACTAAATTAGTCCAACATCTGTATTTTTTTTCACTACAGCTGTATTTTGTTGTGTTTTCTGTGTTATTATCATATTTCCAAAGAGATTTTTGGAAGACACATACATTAAATGTGTCAGCAAAATATATTTTACACTATGTCCTTTTTCTGGCAAATAAAACAGCTCTTGTGTATACACTTAAGCAGCTTTTTAAGGGAGGACAACAATTGATATCTGAAAATTCATAATTTTTGAGAAAACATGCACTTTTTCTGTCCTCATAGAAAAAGTTTCAGTCCTTGTCCTTTCTTAGCTCGGCTAAAGGGAACATAACACTGTAAAGCGAAGAACAAGAAAACAGTAATGGCTACTAAAAAGAAGAGACAAAACTGCAAAAGTAAAAACAAGGGTCCTGAAATCAGAATAAATTGGCAGTAATATGATTCAGTGAAACAAACTCTTTAGAAAAACAACCAGTTAAACAGCTTTGAACTACATCTGCATAGTGTTAACTCACTTCAAATGACTACCAAACAGAATCTGCACAGTAAAGACGAATACACAGTGAACTACAGGAGACTCAGAGGCAGGCTGCTCACATTATATCACAGCACTGCCCGAATGACATCAGTGCTTCCCTTAAATTAGATGTCAGCAACAAGGTGAGTTTGCTGATTGGTGAGCTGGATGGGTTGCCTTTCCAATCAGGGTCGAATGAATCCTGGAAGCAGACTAATTGGCACTTGGGTCATATCATGGTTCAAGGACTGCACAGCAGGATCTACATATCACGAAAACACAGAAGAGGTTAAGCAGATGGGTGGGTGACAGTGGTCAAGGCCATAACATTTGGCAAATGTTCTTATTTGAGTGCTAGATGAGATTTATTGCCACTCTCGTATCTGATAAATTTAAATTAAGGCTACAGCTAGCAGCACAACCACCCCACCTCCCCTCCTCATGACCTCCCCCTTCTGATGCTTTAATTTGTGAACACTTAAGAGAAAATATATCACAGCCACCGCTTTCATTTAGTTTTACTCGAATTTCTTAAATTTGAAATGCTCGCGAAAGAGGCCTTTTCATGAAACCGCATGAAGATAAACACGTGGAGCACGTGTAGGTGGAGCACCTACTGATGTCTCAGAATTTTAGCAGTAACATTTACAATCCGTTTGTTTGGTATCATAATGCTAATAAAATCAAGCTACATAGCGAAAAGCTTAGAAAATTATCTGATGCTATTATTGGATCAACTAAGCTCAGATTATCCAACGCTTTTTGTCTCTGTTCTTGCAGAAGTGTTGCATCTACACTAAGTAACTGAGTGTAAAGATGTTCACTGGCTCTAACTGAATTTTCTATGGAACATGTTTCTGTAATGAATATTAGGAGTTGCTGTAAAGATGTATGTAACATGCACTGAATCTAATATGATGTCCTCTCATTGGGAGAGATTTTGTGAGTAGAAAATAGTCCATCACTGTACAAAGATATGCTCATGGATATTTTCTCAGTAGTGTTCCAAATTCTGTTTGCAGCTCTGGGGATTTGTG